TAGAATTTTTTTGTTTGTGGATTTTCTTTTTTTATTGTTGCTATTTTGTATTATGAATCTTGTGTTCGCGATAAAGTTTATTATTATTAACATAATTTTCAACACTTCCACAGCTTTCTAGATCGGTAGTGATAAGCTCACGTAGTAAACCCACCTTCCTCGTCAGGCCTGAGTCATCAAAGGCTCTTCGCAAGTTAAGCCATACCTCCTTAGTGGTTTTCGGCTCTTGAATGTGAATATAATTGATAGGATCTACCAAGAACACGATTTTTGTCCAGGCTTTGGTGTTGTCGCCTTTAGAAAAAGGGGGTTTCTTCAACGTTTTCTATACATTTATCACATAGGTCCTCGTGTTCCAGGTAAGTCTTGACGGCAAAACTCCACGTGGCATAATTTTCGCCTTTCAACTTTTCTGTGTTAGTTAAATTGGCACTTGAAGATATTTTTGGTTTTAATTCTTGTTTTTATATTATATAGAAGTTTTACAGAAAAAGAGAACCCTGAAGACCGAGAAATTTGTGACGGAGACCGATTGAGGTTATAACTTTAAATTTACTTTTCAACAAATAAATAAACTAAATACTGTCACTAAAAAAATGGTTCTGAAGACAATTCCAATATTATTATCAATTAAGATCATCTAATTAGTTACACTGAGTTTTATTTTTATAATTAGATGATCGGAGTAAGAGTTATTGTTGTAAGTGTTTGTAGACTCTGTATTCGAAAAATAATTTCAAATTTCTGAAATCTCTAAAGAGAATCTACTGTAGGAAATACATATATACACAATACAAATTGTCACTACCCCAATTCATCCTGTGGGTGTCGTAAGAGCCGACTAAGGGAGCAAACTAAGCAGTACAACAGCACTTCAAAGAGAAGGAAAACTTGAAACAAAGCCTATACCAACCCGTCTGGCCAGCGTGGTATAGTAGGCCAAAACCTCCTTTCTAAGGAGAGGCCTATGTCCAGCAGTGGACTAGTATAGGCTGTTGATGATAAAATTAAGGTTATGATTATTATATATTCTTATAAATTTAATATATAATATTTAGTTACGCATATACAGGGTTTTTCAACAAGAGGTGTTATTTTGAATCACCCGGTATTTCGGTAGCTGTCACTTTTGAAGCTTTTACTTTTTGACATTTGACAAGTAGAAACTACGCCATTACTAAAAATGGAACGATACACACTTCAACAACGCATTGAAATTATTAAAATTCACTACAAAAATGGTGAAAATCTTGCAGTCACAGTTCGCAAAACTAAAGCATTTTTTGGTCGTCGTAAAGCACCTTGTCGGACCGCAATACAGAAATTGGTGGAAAAATTCGAGCTGTTGGGACAAGTTAGTGATGTGAAGAATAAAACCCGTGCACGTCGCTCAAGAACAACTGAGAATATTGCTGCTGTAGCCCAAAGTGTTGAAGAAAACGCAGGTTTGTCCATTCCTCGTCGTTCTTTGGAATTGGGCATTCCACAAACGTCATTACACCGTATTTTGCATAAAGACTTGGGTCTTAAGGCTTATAAAGTTCAGTTAACACAAGAACTCAAGCCGGCCGATCATCAACAACGTCGTGTCTTTGCTGATTGGGTACTTGAAATGCATGAAAATGATCCGGAATTCCATCGAAAAATCATCTTGGCTGATGAGGCCCATTTCCACCTAGGAGGCTGCGTCAACAAGCAAAATTGTCGCATCTGGGGCTCGGAAAACCCAAGAGTTAATGTTGAGAAGCCTCTCCATCCTCAACGTGTGACTGTTTGGTGCGGTTTATGGTCCGGCGGGGTCATTGGACCTTACTTTTTCGAAAATGAGGTTGGATCAACACTTACGGTGAATGGACTGCGCTATCGAGATATGATTAATGATTTTTTATGGCCGGAGTTGGATGGTATTGATCTGGACAACGTTTACTTTCAACAAGACGGCGCTCCGTGCCACACAAGCAACGAAGCCATTGCTCTTTTACGGGAAAAGTTTCCTAGATAATTGTAATTGTAAGATAATTGTAGGCTGAGTAACCAATCCTCACTATTTATAGCAAAAACGTGTTCTACATTTGGCTCAAGGTGTGGACCGATTTTTTTATTGACTGAACAGGGTTACGACTGAGGGCATCAACATGCGACATTTGATGATTTGGTCTGTATATTATTTCGCAGTCATACTCCTGCAAAGCCAACCACCACCAAGCAATCCTAGGGAGAAGATCTCTTTTTGTGAAAGTTGCGCGTAAAGCACTGCAATCAGTGACGATTGTGAACTGAACACCTAACAAATATACGCGAAAACGCTTTAATGACTCAATAACAGCTAAAGTCTCTAGGTCATAGGCATGAAACTTTTGTTCGTCAATAGTGGTTTTCCTACTAAAGTATGCTATGGCTTTCAAGGGACTGGTATCATTTTCTCTTTGGAGCAAAATGCCGGCTAGTCCCATTTTGCTTGCATCCGTGTGAAGCTCAGTTTTAAATTTTGGGTCATATAGTGCTAGTATAGGTCTTTCAAGTAACTTGTTTATCAAGGTTCTAAATGCACCTTCTTCCTCATCATTCCACCGCCATGGATATCCTTTCTTTGTTAAATTAGTAAGAGGTCGAGAAATAACAGCATAACCTTTAATGAACTTTCGAAAATAGCTTGTGAAGCCTATAAACTGTCTAATCTCATGGACATTCCTAGGACAAGGGAAATTCCTTACCGCTTCAATTTTTGCTTCCTTCGGCATTAATTTCATAGCCCAGATACTCGATACTGTTTTGAAAGAAGTGACATTTTTTTAAATTCAAGGTTAGATTAGCGCCGTTCAGTAAATCAAAGGTTTTTTCAAATTTTTTAAGGCCCTCATCAAATGTTTTAGATGCAACTATTAAGTCATCCATATAGGCTAATGCAGGTTTACCAATTAGATTATCTGGATCGATACGAGGGCTTTTCAAAGCTAAAGCTTTAGTTATTGTTCTTTGAAATACCGAAGGGGCATTAACTAATCTGAAAGGAACACGTTTAAATTGATACAGACCATTAGGTGTAATAAAAGCCGTTAGATGCCTACAATCTGCTTTGACGGGAATTTGGTAATAGCCGCTAGTTAAATCTAAACAAGTAAAATATTTACTGCCGCTTAATTGATCGATTTGGTCCTCAATAAGAGGGAGTGGAAAATGATCCTTTAAGGTACGTCTGTTTAAAGCACGATAGTCTACGCATAGACGTTGAACTCCAGTCTTCTTTGATACGAGCAAAATTGGACTAGCGTATGAGGATATTGATTCTTCTATGATATCATTTTGTAGTAGCTCGTCAACCATGGTTTGAACAGTTTCTCTTTCCTTGTGGCTAAGTCTATAAGGCCTATATACTACAGGTGTTTTATCCGTTAGTTCTATATCCATTTCTGTCAAATTCGTGCAACCTAACTCCGAGAGGTTTTGTGCGAAAGCCTTTCGATACCGTTCTATTAATCTAAATACTTGTTCTGATTCATAAGTGGTCAGAAGTTTATTAATGTTAACATCTTTTTTATCGATCGGTTCCTGAACCGTTTCGATGCCAAAACAGATTTTGTTGTATCTGGACAGTTGCATTAATTTTCCCAAAAAACAGCGATAGCAACCCGGTACAAATAACGTAACATTTAAGATATTTGGAGAATAGCAAGGTACAACAGCTACTTTATCAAAATTTATTGTTTCATAAACAAATAATTCAACAGTATTATAAGTCTCATGCTCAATACTAGAAAAATCTGTTGGGATATTGCGATCAATTAATTCCAACGATTCGTTGGTTTTGATGACTAGAACATGAGGAAGTTCAGTAAAATTTTGACCGATAAGTAAAGGTACGTGCAACTGGTCAGATAAAATCACGTAAGCGACAATAAAAGCTTCTACAGAGTCGATTCTTACTTTAAAATATGTTTTGCCGATAGGTTTTATCGATAAGTTAGCAAAACCTTTTATATAAGGCATCTGTCCGTTTCCAATTTTAATCCATACTTATCGAGTAAGCTATCTTTAATAAGAGAACAATATCAAAATCTATGAAACACTTTATTTTCTCTTTGCTCTCCCCTAACACCGCTGTTTTGTAAAATTTACTTTGTGTTTTAAGTAATTATATTTTCATAACTCTTTTTTCTGCTGTCAATTTACTACTGTCCTTATTTTTCAGGAAGCAATTATCACTCTTATGTCCTAGTTTATGGCAGTGATCACATTTAATAATTGGGTAGGCACATTGTTGTGTTCTATGACCTTGTTGTTTACAATTAAAGCAAATGATTGACCTACACTGTTTATAATGATGTCCAACTTTTTTGCAATTATTACAAATTACATTTAAATTAGGTCTATCAATCTGATTGTTTGTTGACTGACTGTTTACACATATCTTTTAAAAATCCTAGTAGATCCTCCGGATGGTGGAACCTTGCAGAAGAAGCACTAGCTTTAAGCGTCCTATCGTCCAAGCCGTAAATTATACAATCTACCGCCTTTTTCTCCGAAATGTTACAAGCGTTTAGCAACATCATTTTATCGTAATAATATTCGTCTAACGATTCTCCGGGTTTATAGCGCCTGTCTAACATCTCAAATAATAACGCACCGTAGTTGGTCTCAGATGGGAAAGTTCTTTTTAGACATTTTTGCCATTCTGACCAGTTACGATTAAGTGACTGCAGCCCTTCATTCCATTTCTTTGCATGTCCTACCAGACGCGGAAGTGCGAAATGAGACGTTTGTTTGTCATCCCATCCATAGATTTGAGCACACTTATTAACCTTAGATATCCAAGTTTCAATCCTATGATTTTTAACTGTTGGGTCAAATTCAGGGATAATGCTTTTATCAAAATGTAGCTTTTTAGGCTGCTCATGTTTAGTAAGCGTAGTCATGAGACTTACGAAATCTTTGAAGGTAGGATTATTAAGTAAATCACTCATACTCGATGGTGGGACTCCTTGTGGCTGATCAGTCCTCGCTCAGGTGGTTGTCTGCCGCGACGGACCCATGTCCGGCTTCGTGGCTACGGGAGCAGCTACGTCAATGGCGTAGCTCGGTGAAGATACTATCAATTGTTCTAAACGCGGACTACGCGATCTCAAATTATGGGCACTTGAATTCCCAGCCAGTTCTTGTACTGAATGACTGAGGCTCCTCGCGCAAGAGTCTCTCTCGCTAGCTGGAGACATTATTTCGGACATAACTTGTTCATAGATATATTTATTTTATTTCCCTGAAACCTCCTTAAAATACTATCATATTAGCTAGGGAAACAAGTAAAAAAAAACTGCGGTGGGTATGACCTAATAATTCCTTTACGTTATATAATATACATTTCACAATAGCGAGTTTATTAGTGAATATGATAGAAAGTTGACAGTAATACACACGAATAAAGTAAAAAGAGTTCTTATTAATATTTAGTATGTTGTAAGTGCCCTACCACGCTTTACATCCTAAACATTAATAAATAGCATGTATAGTTAGTTCACGAGGTATTATTTATAGGTTAAAAGTATAAACATTATATTGTACAAATAAATACATGCTTCGTGATTATTGATGCATGTAAAGTGTAGGATGTATGTGTCACCTCTGCGATTGAAAGGCCTTGTTAAAAAAATATGGATGCTAACACATCTCTGACCGCCCAGGCGTGATTCTAATCTTTTTTTTTTTAACTGAATATTGTACACACGAATCATAGTTATAGGGAGAGAATTAAAATAAAATAAAAATTATTAACACTTCAAAACTTACCAATATTCGGCGTCAAGTTATCCCACTTCTGAACTGTTAGCTAATCGCTAGAATTAGGTGTAGTAAAACTGCCGTATGTTTAATAAATCCGTTTATTCTTCCTTCGCAACGTGAACAACACTGCCCCTCTCCTATAACATCACCATCCTTTTATAATAAAAATCCCCTCCAATATTTCTTCACCTTAAATCTACAACTACCCTCTTGGTTACATTTTTATTTGCTTAAATATATAACGTATCATTACGGTATAAATATTAAATAAATTAACAAAAATCTCACATAATTATTAAGTATACAACATGTGTAATATCAGACCAATCAGTTTGACTCAAATATTTGTTTTAAGCATCATAGTCACAGCGGTAAAAATTATGTCGCTTATTAATTTATTCAGTGAGTGAGGTATATAAATCCGTTATTTCAATTGTGAAGGCAGGATGGTATTTATCCTTCTTCAAAAGGCTACTGCACTCAATCACGCTGAGGGGTTGGTTACAGAAAGCCAAGTCAAGCGTTCGATCTGCGGCATTCCTAATACAATTGTATTGTTGTAAACCTTGAAATAATAGATCCTCAACAAATAGGGTAGCCGCAGACTGAATCTCTTTTGTTCCAATGTTAGCCAACGGATAGTTATCATCGGACCATTGCAAGCAGGGAAGGTTAAAATCCCCCACTGCAAGACCGTGTCAGACGAATGGGACGACGCAATCTCAAGCACCGATCTTTTAACCTCATCGAGTTGAGTAGGTATAGAAGGACTACCGGACGGGATATATGCCAAAAAAATGTGTAAATTGACTTGTGTGCATAATATTCGAGCGGAGACTGATACACAAAGCAGCTCAGCCGTAGCACCACTAAAGTCAAAACGCACACTGGCGGTGTATTTACGTTTGATGCAAATCAATACACCGCCTCCACTTTCTTTATCGGTACGTAACAGATCGCGATCACGTCGAAACATTTCGTATCTATTATCACATAACTCGCAATTTAAAATGGATAAGAAGTTGTGGATAAGAATCTTGTTGTACAGATCCAAACATTTTGTGCGAAGGCCGCGGACATTTTGATAATAGATACTTAAATTTTTACTTCTAGTAGCCATTGAGGTTAAATTTTGCAGCACCATGAATCAAGCCTTAGTAGCCGCATCCCAGTTGCTAAATCACTTAAAGAACTATCTCTGGTCATACAATAAATGTGTTACGATGAAATAGTAAGTTATCTTTATAGTCATTAGTGAGTATCCTTGTACCACATTTTGAACGGGACGTTAATAGTACAAAACTATCACGACATGACAATGCTAAACCTGATAGGTAATGATAAAATGCATAAGTAGGTAGAAACAGTTGTTTACCAAACTGGTCCGCTGCTAAGATCTTCAATTGAGCCCCATGGTATATATTGCAATCGTACACCCCGCATAACCCAACTAGAATCGGAGAACATGTGTAACTAAGTTTATGGATGTATAAAGAATATAACTCTGCTCCAGTTTGCGTGTGCTCCATTGCGCACTCATGCAAGCGCACCTCACCGACGCAATAATTAGATACAAATAGTTCGTACGACTCGTAATTATGAGTAGTACTCCCAACAAACGCCCCATCTACTATGTCAATGTACATATTATGTGTAGTCAGAAAAGTATACGAATACATGACGGAGTTCCGATGTCTGAGTTGTTTTTAAATAGAGTGACGTCAGCAAAGCCGATGTCTTTCTTTAGATTGTCATGGTTTTCACTTATAAAAGCAAATAGTAGTAGTAGTAAATAACAACAACAATAGTAAATACCACTAAAGATGTCTACCAAGTTGTTACACACAGTCGTACATACATCCGTACAGTAGTAAATAAAGACAACAGTAAATACAGTTAGATGTATTCCAAGGTCTCACAAACAGTTGTGCGTAGATCCGAACAGCCCAACGGCTTGAGCGAGAATGACCGAGTATGCGCAATGCAGCTCGTTTTTATAGGCGAAGTAGTGGGGTGATTGTTATGATTCACTTGTTTACGCCGCTCGGAACACGTGCAAGTGACGTTGTTGGTGTTGCTAGTATTGAATACTGTTTTGCGCCGATATAATATAATGCGAGAAGCCTGTGCAGTGTTAGTTACTAGTAGCTAGTACACCGTCAACACTACTGTCACTCCAGCGTTCATACCAGTTGCGTCGAAAGCTATGCAATATGTCGTGATCAAGTTATATTCAACAAAAATATTGATAATTATATTTATTGATATGCATACGATATGACGACAAATATCACAATAGGACCCACGATGGCACTTTGTTAATGAGCTATTGCTAAGTAGGCTCGAATAAATACCCACAGAAAAAACCCCGAATATCCCACTCGTCCACCGAACACCATACATCAACACATCCCCACCCCACTCAGCTCATCCTCATGTTCAGGCAGCCTCAAACTATAGCCAAATATCATAAAGTCAATTATCTTAAACAACAAAGTAAACATGTAATTATAATTGCATAAGTATATAGGTTGAATAAAAATATTATGCATATACCTACTTCTTCTGTTTTAAAGATATTAAACAAGTTTGTGAAACTAAGTGATAATAATATATGAGACAAGAATTTGGTCCCAGCTTTGAAGTATTCTTTACTCGGAACTCGTTCTAGACACACACATATATATACATACACAAAACCGTGACTTACGTCAACAAACACAATATTTGGGGATCAGCCCTTGTAAACAGTTCGTGGTCACAATCTCCGCACCTAAACATCCGAGCGAATATACCCCATAATAGCTATAGGAAACCTCAAAATCCCCACCAATACATAAATTATTTAGCTTATTTAATGACACGATGACAGGGCCAATTAGCACGAAATATGATCTTTCCACCAAGGATTTTTCCACCTTTAGCAATAGTTGCAGTGTACCGGTCACCCTCATTTAGTAATATATTTCCTTTTCTGCACTTTAAGCAACTTTAAGCACTCTAAGCTCATTTGATAACATTGTTATAATGGGAGACTTCCCCCTTTCTCCTCGACTTGCTTGCGAGCGGACGTGTTTTGAATGTGTCGTGAACTTATTAATCACTAAATATTACAAGAAGTGTTTTTTCGATATTTTTTTTGGTTTGAGTGTATAGAATACAAAAGATACTGAGAGTTTTCTACAATGTAACAAACGGTGAACAGTTAAAATCAGTTTATAGTAACTTTTAAAATCAGTTGGTGTCTTTTTGCAAAGATTGATATAGACCGTAAGGCCACTGATGAGTCAAAACCGCTCCTACCCTCATTGCATACCTTGCACAACATTTTTAAACAGATCACTTAATTCTTCTCAAATATCAATGCAAGATTAGCGATGTCGTCGTGTATCAGACTGTCGTTTATGTGGTATCGAGTTCCATCCCCAGAAGCTGAATCAGTTTTTGTGATTTATCTTCTTACATAAACTTAGTCCTGAACTTCGGGAACAATACTACTCAATCCGATCTATCGAGGATCGCCGAATATAATTCGCATCTTACCTACATCATTCAACTAGTTGCACGCTGCCGCTCCGTTCCCGAATACTACCGAGAGTTACCGATCTCTCCACAAGTTGCTGCTGACGACACTCGTAATAAATAGCTATAATCTGCATCTGTACACTAACAGCAGATAGTTACATCGTATTTGATTCTTTAGCGCTGCTTGTTGTTTTGTGGTTTCTGTAACGTTATAGGACTACGTTGCAACTTTAATATGCCAAGAACAGCACGTACGCCACCTACCACAAGCGAAACTATAAATCGGGATATTCTTAATACACCTGATACATATAGCCATAATGAGCAGGAGCTTATAAACATTATAGCCTGAAACAAGCGCCTCAGACCCGATTTCTCACCTGAAAACGACTGGAAGTCGTTCGAGGATAAAATAACCAATATGCTCGTAACATGGAAGTCTGACCAGGACTCAACTTTTTGTAAACTAAAGTCTGACATAGCAGAGGTAAAACAGCAAAATAAAAATATTCAAAATACAAATAGCGAAATAGAAAAGACAATGGCATTTATGAATAGCAAATTTGAAGAGATGAAACAGACTATACTAAAACTAGAAGGAGAACATCAGGAACAACGAAATAACATTCTGGAACTAGAAAGAAAAATCAGTGACCTGCAACACGTTTCTTGGTTCTCTTTGATAGAGATTAAAAACGTGCCACAGACCGAAAAGGAGACTACCAATGATCTCTCATCGCTAGTAGACAAAGTAAAACCTTCAGACCTGCGGGACGTCTACCGTCTGCCTGGTAAAAAAGGATCAAACAGACCAATTATTGCTGAGTTCCAAAGCGTCCCGATGAAAAATGAGGTAATAAATGCAGCACGTATATTCAATAGGGGCCTGCCTCTGTCTGAAAAACTAAAT